GAGAGAGAGAGTAACGCAGTGATGGAGCAAGCTCATGTAAGCCACGCCACTGCAGGCTCACGCAGCGGGTGAAGCGAGAGATGGCCGTGGTGTGCTGCATGCTTCGATCTAGCTCAAAGGCTAGCAAAACGCACGCGTGATGTGTCATGTGCAGGCAATGGGAAACTACCCATGAATAAATACAGCTGGATTAGTCCACAAATGCTTACTCCCCTTGCATTTCTGATTTAACAGGGATCTGATATAACAGGATTTTTTCTCTGGCCCTACAATCCCTGTTATATCAGGCTTCCACTGTAATAATAAATAATAAGCAGCATTTGTATCGCGTATATCTCCGCTCGAGAGCGATCTCTGTGTGCTTTCCATCATGCTATGTATTATTACTCCAGCAGACCATAGTATACTCAGGAACATTCTCTACTTCGCGGGAGGCATACAGTGCAAGAAGCCAATTAACCAACACAACCAAACTGAAATTATATTTCGCTTTCTATAGCCTGGTACCCATTCCCACCTGGGGGGAAAAAAGTAAACTCGTGTGAAGTGCCTTTCCCAAGGACACAACTTTGGGCCCCTGGCGGGATTCGAGCCCACGACCTTATGGTTGCGAGTCCGAGAGCCTATAACTAAACACCGACGTCATGCTGTTGCATTCAATCTAAGAAACTCGGTTTGTTTGTCTTTTATGTTTCGCAGTTTAAGTGTTCCTCAGTGGATGAGTACGATGAGGAACAAGTACAAGCAGACCCACTGCACAACCGCAGGAATTTTGTTTGGTAAGTCGGTAAGTGATTTACGGCACTCGCAACTTCATCATAAAAATAAAAAGGTCATATGAGCACGCGGGACACATTCAACATGTTCAGTTTAGTAGGAATTAATAGGCCCTTTTGAATTTTTCCCGAGTGGCGGCCGAAGCCTCCTTTATCGTTTTTGGACCACCAAGGGATTGTTCGCAACTTGCACACGCGACCCCCGAGATTTTCATCCTTATCCGAGAAGACAATGTGCTAAATCTTACCTTCCCTAAGATCAGGGGTGTGACTGAATGGCAGCAGTAAGAAGGAGTAGCAGTAGAAAGGCTGCAGAAAGAGTCAGGAGCCCAGAGGACGGTACAAAGGGGGAGGGGGGGGGGATGTGGGTAGAAGTAGAAGTGGAGACAGAGGCAGACGACAGAACACACAGAGCAGGAAAGAGGGTGAACAGAAAATTTTTTCCATCGCTCTCAGGTTTCGAATCCGGGACCTATTGAATGAGAGGTGAACACCGTAACCTCTAGACCACGAGGGATGGGCGCGCAGGTGGGTGGAGCCTGCACGACTATGTCATTTCTTTTCTCTTCTTCTATTGTTTCTGTCGGCATAATATCATAATCGTTCTTGTTCCCTGTATGTGTAGTCATATTGGCCGTGGTCGCGTCAATATTACTATGCTTCCTTTTACTCAAACCAGACTAATTAGTTAGGTGTAAAGCTTTCACACACACACACACACACACACACACACACACACACACACACACACACACACACACACACACACACACGCAAGCGCGCGCGCACATACACACACACACACACACACACACACACACACGCACGCACATACACACACACACACACACACACACACACATCTTATGTTTTTGTTATTGCATGTCCACATGGTTTAACCCTCTTCTATTTAAACTTGATACCTCTTTGATGATTGCCTGGTGTCTTTACTTATTTTAAGTTCTCTTCAGTGTTACTGTTACCGCACTGTTTCCCTTATCCGTTCCTTCTTGCTAAAGACCTATGTGCTATTAGCAATTAGGGCCTACTTATCCACTCTCATTGAAACGGGTTTCCTTCTTTCAACCAGTCAAGGCAAGATGATTGTTTTCATATCAGGTGTATTTTCTTCTTCAGAAAATTCCAAAGTGAACAATACAAAAAGGGCTGTTCTCAGCGATTTCCTGTGACCTCTTTTCAACCCGAGTCATGTGAAAAGTCACGAGACAAAATTATGTTTGACAAGAAGAAACGCATGACTGCTTTATTGGGGTCAGCACACGGAGGTCGTAAACTCTATGGGTCATGAATGAAAACAGGGGCATGATAAAGAAATGAATAAGAACTTTTATCAGTTTAAGACAACGCAGGTTAATGTTGGAGGGTGCTATAACGGTTAGGTCTGACATCGTTCCCACTTCCCTCTATTTCTGTTCTTTCTACTCGACTTTCGATGTTGCTTCTCCACAGCGCTGAATGGTTATAGTTATACTTTACTTTTGATTCGCTTCTCCGCTTCAAACAACACTGTGTAAAGGTGATTTACAATAGCCTTTTTCAGTGCACAAGTTGATGTGTTGTTTTTTTTCTAATGTGTTATGGATATTGAGACATAGCCTACATTTTAATAAAAAAAATGACCGCTTCGTATATTACGCTACCCAAACCTAATTAAACGTATCGTAGCAAAAAAAATAAAAAATGATAACAAAGGTTCAGAAATACCGATTTAGATGCCACACTAGTATCATATAAATTTACACTATACTAAAAAGGAGGTACAGTATAGAAAAGTGTCCTTTCCCGTTCTTCTTTTTTGCCAGTTTAGTTGAGTAGGCATTACATAACGCTCTTCAACACACGAATGAATCGCTGTAAAGCATATAATATCGAGGAGTATTCCAATAACAAGATAAGTAATAAGAAAGAAAATAGACGCCGCACCAAATTACTTTTCTCTGCTTGGATGCTCGTCTAGATTTTGTTTTGCACCCAGCATGAGTTGGATGACTAATAAAAGTAGCGTAAATCTATGGATAAAACACTTTTACATAATGTAGCCATCATGCATTACACAATATATTTTTTAATACAATGATAAACTGTGCTTCAATATTTCAAGTTATGTAAGCCAGATGTTTCGAAAAGGAAGTTGTTTTTGTTCTTGGGTCTAATAATAGATGTGTACCAGCTCTGGGTGCTTTCCAGAACTCAAGAGTAAACATTCTGTCAGGATGAGAAAATAATATATGGTTTATATAAATAATAGAATAAATATAACCTCCTTATTGGTCAAAACAAACACAGACGCCGGTAACGTGTTAGCAGGGCATGACAATGCAAGGGAGCCGCTTGAAAAAAGGTTTAGGCTAAGTTTAATTAAAAAGCCTGGTTCTCCAAATAACCCATCCAAACAACAAAACAGGGAATCTCCTAAAGAAAAATGAAAGTAGGCCTTAAAAAAATTCATTCAACATAATACTTATGGTGGTGAGTGGTGACTGTTTGAGTTGAGGGCATCGCGGACACATAATATATAGCCTAATGTCTTATCAGCACAGACCGAAGGCAATTATGTTGCTATACATTTCGAACCATAAAAAAACATAGACCCGAAACAAGTTAGTATCATACTTCAATATATATATATATATATATATATATATATATATATATATATATATATATATATATATATATGTTATTTTCACTTGCGGCGTTTTGGCATTATATCTTCGATCTTTGCTAAGATCCACGTTATGAAACATCATGTGACCACGCCCCCTGCCTCCGCAACTCCCCCCCCCCCCCCAAACCGACGCCAGGGAGTGCAGGTGCACGCGCTCGCGTCCATGCATGCATGCGTTTGTAAGTGCGTAGGGCCTATAGTATATGCGTGCGTTTGTGAGTGTGTGTGTGTGTGTGTGTGTGTGTGTGTGTGTGTGTGTGTGTGTGTGTGTGTGTGTGTGTCGGCGTGTGTGTGTAGTAAATAAATTTACGAAGTGCCATAAATTTATGTCTTTTGGATATAAATAATTTATCTTATCTTTGTTTTGACCTACAACAAAAGCAGAGCGATAGAGTCTTGCAGTTGAAACCCCAGAGTAGCTTCCCTTGCACTCCAAAGGACAAAACGGCACAGTGGAGGGCAGGGCAGGCAGGCACGTTTTTTACACTTGCATTGGCAGAGTTGGTAACGACGGACGCTGGAGAGGCCGAGTGAGAGCGTTTGTTTCGCCTACTAGATCTACCCGTTGTATTCCTGCTGTGTTTCTCTTCTGCTAGATTTATAAATTGTAACAGACTGTGTTGCAGGTTGCCGTCAGTAAGTTCTAGTCGAAAACAACTAAGCTAAAGCCTACACTAGCTTTTTGTTGTTATTGTTGTTGTCAGCTCTGCAGCAAGATTAGTTCAGGGTTAAGTTGTGTAATAAATACATTGGATCGTCAATCTTTTTAACGATTTCTTTTGACAGTTTGCGTCGCCGGGATCTAGCAGTATGATGTGGAGTGCAGCGCTGTCATGCATGACTATTATCTGGATTCTCGTTGGATCCTTGGCCTGCCAGCGAAATTGTGGATCGCAAAAAGAAGATAATGACCGCTTCATCTTGGATAGTGTTGTCTACAAGAATGAAGTCTCAACATCATCTCTTTCCGTACGTAGCCTTTTCTTTCTTTTAAATGAATTAATGTCTAACCCTCTAAGACTAGGCTAATTTTTAAGAGTGGCCATGGGTTGTCCTATAAATGTTATCAATTAAGAATAGAATAAATACATGAACCTCAGAAGTTAGTTGATTTGTTAAAAAAAAAGAAAAAAAAAAGAAAAGAGCCCAGGACGAGGGACGCTGGTGTGTGTGTGTGTGTGTGTGTGTGTGTGTGTGTGTGTGTGTGTGTGTGTGTGTGTATGTGTGTGTGTGTGTGTGTGTATGCACGAGATGAGGCCTTATTACTTTATTTAATGATAACGAATTTCACAGTGCAGGCCATAATATAAGTCCTATGCTTTTAAAAGAGTCCATCAATTTAGGCTAGAAAAGACAAATTCGAGACTTGAAATATAAATCTTTTTGCTTTGTGTGTGTTTTATTAGGTTATAAATATATATGTGTGTATGTGAATAGCTAAAATAGCACAATCTTGAAGACACATCACATCACGATACTACTATAGACATAGATCTAGACAGTTATTTCATGCACCACTTTGTTTTGTACATGGGATGAAGGGCTAAAACAGCACCTGGACATGGATGGCTGGTGCCTCTATAAATAAATCATTGATGGTCAGGACATGGGATGAAGAATTAAAGATGTCATAATTAAATTGGCATGTTTTAAAATTAATGTAAAGCAAACATTTGCTTTTGTTTCAAATTTTCAAAATCGCATCGCATATGAACCTGACAGTTGTGTTAAGGTTACTCGAATGTTGTACGTATAGCCTATAGCAGTTAAATTATGATTAGGCTAATCAAATTGTATTTAAATTGGCTATCTTGGTCCTTATGTTGAATTTGAATGTTCTGTTTCAGGCTGGTAAAGTCTGGTTGTTTGCTGTGGATGGTCGTAGAAAACCGTACAATTTTCTGTAAGTGTGTTTTTTTCCTTTTATGCAGATTATCATAAAATTATAAAACTTTGTTTCGAGATCAGTATAATAAATATGGCCTATTGATTGAGTAAAGGCGGATATATCGCTAGAGCTGTACTCTAAAGACACCCAAATATGCCGTGAAGTAACTGGTGTTGAATTTAGCTGCGGATTTTGGATATGATGTGGTGGATATATTATGGAATCGATGGGGTTATTTTTTAAATTTGTGTGGGAGGTTAAAAAGGAAAGGCTGGTGGAGATTTGGGAGGAGTATTATTATTATTATATCAGTGAGTCAGTGTCTGAAAACAACAAAAAATCTTTTTATTAATTGATATTTGAAAGTTTTTTTGTTTTTGTTTTTCTTTCTGTGGAGATCACTATCTATGTATAATGTTAGTGCTTTTGTAAATTAAAAACATGATTTTACTTATCCTTTTTTAAAACATTCTATTGACAGAGATGAAAATGGAAAGCTGGTTGGCTTTGATGTGGATTTCATATCCAAAGGTAAGTGTCAGCAATTATTCAGTCATTTGGAAAAAGCATGGGAAGTGCAGAAGTATACTTTTTGGCTACTTCAATTATTTGTTTGTAATGTAGGTTTGACATGTCATCTGTAGCGGTAGGCCTTTTGGAGCTGCCGGAAAAGGAGTATATATGTTCCTTTCGATTAATAATTTCTTTAGCTAGAGTTGACAAAATTGTCTACCGTCAAACCTGTCCAAGACGGAATTGCAAGGAAGTGAGAAACAATTTCGATTTTAGATAATTTTCCATCTTGGATAGGGGAGTTTAGGAGGGCCAACTGTACATGGTGGGATAAAATGTCATCTTTCAAGTCGGCAAGCAGTGGTTAAAAAAAAACTTCACACCCCCCAAATGCTGTCCTAGCCACTGTGATAGTAAAGGCATAGGCCTACATCAGTCTTACTAATCCATTGCCACTCGTGCTTGCATCTCATAGGGACCACTGCTTGACCTTTAAAAAAACAAGAAACCATTGGACGTCTCTTTTGTTTCCACTCTTAGCACGACCCATGGGTGTATAACGGAAACAACCAATGCCACCCTTCCTCTGCAAAAAACAACAATTCAGGAACTTTTTTTGTTGCTGGCCATACCATCGGGGTGGGAGGCAGTGGTCAAATTTCACATCTCTGGCTACCCAGAGAATTTTGTGTGGTATGCCATTTTGAAGAAAAGCAGCAGTGAAATTTCCCAGCCACATGATCGTGGCTATCTTCACAGCTCAGGTTCACATGGGTGGGGTAACAGCTACCCCCAAACTGCTTTCCTTTCCTCGTCCTTGGCCTGACAACTTGTGAGTCTTATTTCAAAAAGATCTGAGGATTGAGCGGGCAAAACATTTTCTATCTTTGACAGGAGAAAACCCTCCAAAGGGAAGGAATTTCTGTGTCTGTTTCTGGGGTGAAAGTTTCTATCTTAGACAGATGTATTTTAAAGGAATTTATCGAGGGTGGGCGGGGTTCAGTCAAGACAGGTTCCTATCTTGGAAAGAGATTTCCGTTTATGGTACTGTACTTTTTTCATTAAATTTTTTCCTCGATAGATATAAAAGAGATCTTGTCAGCTTTTATGTCACCCTTTTCATTCTATTATAACAATGCTTTGAAATGTTTAAATTTTGCTTTGGAATTCTTTGTCATTTATTATGCTCCTTGTGGTTGATACTTTCATAATGTTCATCATTTTAAATGTTTTCATGTTTCAGTATGTTCTGTTGTACAAAAGAAGTGCAAAATTGTACTTGCTGAATTCACTGAATGCACCATCACTGAAAGAAATATCAACTATGCTGGAAGAGGTGAGCAGTTACTTGTTCTACAAATTTTGAGTGCTTTAAATGTCAGTGGTGAGCATGTAACTTCATTGAAAAAATAAATGCTCTCACTGCAATATGGGGCGGAAGGGGGTGGGGAGGGGGTGGGGGTGGACTGTCTTTCAAAGAGACATGTACGTAGAGATATGTTGTATTTTTTTCCAAAGAATGTCAGCTTGTTTCGTTTGTTTTGTAAAGAAACTCTCATTGAGTTTAAACTGTAGTGACCTCTTTAGGCTTAATGATGCAATTAATTTTTTTGTTAATGAGCACATTTCATCGATTTTACTGCAGATGTTGTTGAGAACTTCTGTTAGATTTACCTAATCAGGAGCCTCCATGTGGCAGACAAAAACAAAAAAAAAGAGGGAGAAGAAGTTATTAGTGTTGTGTCGATGAAATGAATATAATCATAATAATTTTGCATGTGACATAATTTCTATTGTATATTATTGTGTATAATGGTGTAGCAATAACCAACATTGTATCATTAAAATAAAATGCTTTTCTCTGTTCACTTATTCATAAAGAGCAGCAGATTAAGTAAAGACAAGGGTAAAGGTAAAGTTGTTCCCGCATCCGATCTGGACATTGGAGATAGCCTTGTTAGTGAGCGAGACAACTTCCTGGACCTTTGGCATAATATTGTGGTAGGGTGGAAAGACATGGGTATTGCTGTGAAATAAAGAATTCTATGTCTTTGGTACATCAAATCAAAGGCACATAATATGCTGAAATGACTTTGGACATGAACAGAAAGCTGAGATGTTTTTGGTTTCTTTCCAGGCCTCATGTCAGGATGGTTTGATGGATGTCCAGGTTATGTTCTATCCTTGGACAGGCAAGGAGCTTTTGATTTTACTGAGCCTTATCTTGCAACTGATGCTTCTTTCACTGTGTCTCCTGGCAACCCCTCTGGCTTTGACCCAGACTTGGATGATTACTCTAAATTCACCTTGAGTGAGTAATTTTGATTGTGTTCACGTTTCCGTTTTACACAGGTTTCTGTTAAGGTAGGTTCGACTGTATATAGCGAATGCGGTGGGAAGTGGAAATCTTTTCGTTATGTACGATTTTTTCTTTAAATATTTATTTTAATTAAATACAAAGATTGTAAGTCAAAACTGTCTCAGACAGCCATCTATTGTGGAAGAAAAAAAGTGTGTTTTTTAGAAATTACTATGCAAACAACACGCAAGGGAGGAAATGGGACGTGGCCGTTTGTACAGGTGGGTGTTAGAGCTGGGTCGGCTGTGCTGGTATAAGCAAAGATTCCAAATCTGAAAATTGGTTCGATATGTAGGTATTTGCTATGTGTGTGTGCTAGAGTGCATATCTTTTAATTTTAAGATTGTACCTTTTTAAAAATTTAGCTACAGTGAAATTTGTTCAGGAAGTACTGTCACATTAATAATGCTGTGGCACCCATATGATGGGCACCTCTGTTCTTTTAATTTTTCAAGTGGGTAGTATCTGTATTCTCGTACCTTAAATATGCTGCTGAAATCTTCCTTCCCATCATTGCCGGAGAGGTATAATGAAGTATCAGGGGGAAAAATTAATTTATGACAGACATTTTTCTTGTGTTATAGGTGCTGAGTTTCAGAGTTAGAAAATTACATAACTGTTTTTATTGTTGATGACCCCTGCTTTTTCAAAGTTCAATTTCAGAGTAAAGGTGGGGGAAAAATTTCTAAGTCAGAGTAGTAGTTTCGTGTCACTGACTCTCTGATTTATGTTTGCAGCCCATTTGACAGGAGCTGTCACAAATGCTCAGTGCCTGAATAGGTTGCACAAGAAGTTTGGGAAAATTATTGTGGCTGCAGACTTACCAGATGCCAAAGAGTTGTTACTGAACAGAACTGTAAGTTATTGCTATTGTAGCATTGTGTTATGTTTCAGTATTCATGGGGGTGAGTGGACGTTCAGTTCAGTGGAAATGAATTTACTTTGTGCTTTTTTTAATCAGAGATTTTGATGGGCTGGTGATGCGGTGTGCTTTTTCTTATCAGTGGTTTCGGTTGGCTGGTGATGCGGATACCAATACTTATAATTTGTAAGTGTTATGTTATTTACATTCCAAGGAGGAACTAAGAAAAAATTGTTTCTTTGTCTTATTTAGTCGTGAAGAGAGAACAACATAAGAAGGAAATCTAGGGGGAGAGAAAAAAAAGGATGCTTTATATATACTTTACAGATCTTTTTCGCTCCACATAATGATAACCAAATTTTATTTTTGTCAAATTTTTCTTCAGGCTGATGTGTTATTCTCTGCCCGAAGATCAATTTCAGGCCTTGAAGTTTTGCCCCAGCGTGTGCACTGTGAAATGGGTGGCACCGGAGTGATGCTGAAAAAAGGCAGCGAGCTGGCTCAGTGGTGGAATCCTGCCTTTCAGACGTTGGTCTTGTCTGGCGGGTACGCTCAGTTCTGTGCTGAAAGTGAAACCAAATACAATGGTTAGTATTGACACCAGTAGAGACAAAGAGATGTTTTCTTCCTTTAAAAAAAAAGAAATTATGAATCTTAATCATGTCATTGTCAACATCTGTTAAACATATGCATCATAAATTTAATATTGAGAAGTTTTTTAACATCCTGATCTTAACAAAGACGTGAGGATGGTCACAAAGCTCCACTACAATACTTTTCTTCTTTCTTATTCACATATTGTTACTGCCAGTTAGTTGTCTAGCCCTCCTTCAGAATGCCTCACTCTCTGACTAACTTAATGTCAATATACTTTTTATTAAACTTCCTTTCTGCTACCACATTACAATTGTCTTTGAGCTGTAGTTTGAAGGCAATCATTTGACATAGATAGGGTATCCATTGTCCCTTAATTCTGACCTGTCTCTTTTCATTCACAGCGACATTCAGATGTCTGTCAGGCCTAAAGGCTGGCCATATAATATCTGGAAAGCCACTGACCCCAGCAACACAGACCATGTCTCAGGTGATTTGTCTGTTGTATTTTATTTGTTTGGTGTGTGGCTTTCTATTATAAGCTTTGATGAAATGTAAAAGACAAAGTTATCAATGTGAAAATCCATCTGTTATAGGAGTTTTCGAAAAGATGTAATTACAGCTTGGAACACTTTAGGGTAAGATTCAAGCATCAAGTAATTTCTCGACACAAAAGTTGGTTCCCAACCCAGTTTTTTTTTCTCCTGTATTTCCTCATTCAAAATTTGAATTCTGGAAGTTTTGAAAAAAATTTGAATTCCTGCCCTGATTCAGGTTCCACAAGTATTTTGTTTGATTCTGTTATAAAAGTAATTCTCTTTTGTTCAGGACGCTGCTGATCAGAGAGTGTGGCTTTTCGCTCTTAGTGGCAGGAGGAAACCCTTTGCATTCCAGTAAGTATTCAACTATAATAGGCCTATGTATTGTTTTTCTTCTTTCTATAGATCTGTTTATATTGTCTTTTTCCTGGTGATGTCATTTGCAAACATATGGAACTCTCCTCCTTTTTTTTGTGTATTTTACTATCTAGTAACACCTCTAATTGTCAGCCTTTACATGACCTAATTGCTATATGACCTTATTGTGTTGCTAGTGCCATAAAACTTATACTAAAATGTGTTGAAATATGTATTTGTATTTATGTATTTATATGTGTCTATAAAAAGCTTATAATTTGTGTACATATTATGTTTATACTCATATTTGTTACACACATTTTTTAAATGAAAGATAGAAGCATCTTTAGTACAGTGAACAATACAGTCACATATGTTCTTTCCATATGTGAGGCATCATGGTGAAGTCAGGCGCTTTTCAAAATATAGACATTTTTTTCGAATTTTTGTTTTTTTGTTTTTTTTTAGGCTCAGCACCTTGTATGTCCATTCAAAAACACTTTTATATGTGGATTTTATGGAAAAGCGTTGAATATAGGCACAACAAATTTAAATTTGCAGTTTCCAAGGACTCTTAAGCTATGGAAGTCACCAAACTTTGGCGGCCATTTTTTCACTAATTTTATCTCTGAAACCAGGCGACCCCACCTCCTTCAATTGCATATGTCTGAACTTCTATTCAAGATAAATATATATTTTCTTCATCGAAAGTTAGGCAAATGAACAACCTTTAAGATGATACCATTAACTCCATATGCCCAAAAATTGATGAGTGCCTGATTCCTCTTCGTTGAGAGACATATATGTGAATCTTCAATACCATGATACTTTTTATATGTGGGGGTTAGATGCAAAATACGCTAAGCAATATTTTTGGAAAAATCGATACTTTTTGCTTATAAATGCACATTGTTACTGGTTATCAGATGCACAAAGTGTTTTCAGCCAATACCCAACACATACTTCATAAACGCTATTAAAAAAATCTTTTTACGCATGTTTGTGCATATAGCATGCAAGCAGCATTAGAAAAAGCAGATTTTCTCAAAAGGGCTGAAATGGATGTAGCTGGTTTTGCATAGTTTGGCTTTGTGTTGTAATTTAAGACAAAGGACTTTATTCTCTCAATGTTATCTGTGAGTTGTGACTAAAAAGCTCTTATTTTTGAAACTATGTTATTGTGTTGCTAGTTGCTAATGGCGTCCCAAAACTCACTCAATTTGAATTGTGCTCGTAATTTTTGTACTTTCTATTTCAGGGATGAGGAAGGGAGGTTGAGTGGCTTCAATATTGATTTTGTGCGTGCAGGTGAGGTAACAATAATTATTTAAATTGATGCTACCTTATGGTAATATATTTGATTTGGTATGCTGTGTTTCATGCCACCTCTTTTTTTTTTTTTTTGATTTTTGCATTCTTTTGATTTTCCTTTAACATGGCATGAAACCGGTGAGTTAAAAAACATATATACAGTTGAGTTAAAATGGTTATTTTTATAATGATTATGATTTTGTGAAGTGGGTGGTGGAAGGGTGTTTCTTGTAGTTTTTATTTCTTGTGTGGTATGTCATCTACTTTTTCGAAGCTTTGAAGTCTCAATCCTTGCAGCAGTGTGTTTTTCCTTTACACAAATGAGCATCTATTGGATTTATAGCTGTAAAGCATTATATTTTCTATTGCGAACACTGATAAAAACAAAGTTTCTCTTTGCCTTTTACTCTCAGTGTGTGCTGAAGCGAAGCAAGTGTGTGACTTTGTCTTGTCACAGTTTACAGAATGTTCCTTCACCCAACGCAACATCAACTATGCTGGAAGAGGTAAGTCCTTGTTGTCATCGTCATCATTATTGCCATTTTTGTCATGATGATGATGATGATGATGATGATGATGATGATGGATGATGATCATCATTATCCTAATTGTCGTTGTCATCATTTTTTTTGTATGTTAGCTTACGTTGGCAATCATTGTTCTCAATTTTACTCTGTGTGTGTGTGTGTGTGTGGTCTGGCACAGAAGGTTCATTTCCTTTTCATCCCCTTTTCATTCTGGTTTCATTCTTTGTTTTTCTTTCTTTCAATACTTGGTTTGTTAGGTATTTGTTTTTGGGTTGTTTTTTTTACATCTGTTTTATGTACATTTAGAGTTTTTGTAAAGGGAGGTGGAGAATTTAGGGGACTAGTATTATGCACATCTTAGATTGGGTTTGATACATACACTTTTAACATAATTTGCTTAAATGGCGATACAGTCTTCTTGGGATGAAGCAATGTGTTCCTTAAATTCTTGTTAAGAAAAGTGAATGGATTGTGAGGAAACTGAGGGTGGGGTGGGAGGATGAGATCACTGATGATATTAGTTGGAATTGTGCTGCTTTGCATTCTCAGGGATTCCATGACAATGAAGTTGGTCTGTTTAAAATCCAGTATAGCAGTGGTAGCCTATGTCTTCCTGCACACAAAAAATACATAGCTTGTGTTCAAATATTGTGTTTTGGTAGGTTTCTAGAAATGTCTAATGTATAGTTAAAGGGTTACTGTATATTTTTGGAGAAATGTATGGTTTCAGTAAATACAGTAAAGCCTACTTAAACTGTACAAGGTTCATCCAAAAACAGCAGTAAACAGAAAGAAATGAAAATTCCTCATTTTTTTGTTATTGTTTATTTGAGAAGCCTCTCTTTAATTAAAAACCTGGTTTAACTAAAGAAAACCCTGCTGTCTGGCAGATTTAGGTTAAAGTGGATTCTACTGTTCTTTGTGAAGTCTCCAGTATAACATGCCAACTCCTCCTTGAGTGTATTTTTGAGGGCTGTAAAATATACCTCTAGGGCTCATGGATGGCTGGTTCGATGCTTGCATGGGTTATGCGGACTCTGTGGACAGAGCGGCTGCCGTGGACTTCACAGATGCTTTCCTAGAATCATCCTCCACCTTCACTGTAGTACCAGGAAATCCATCTGGCTTTGACCCAGATCAACAGGACTTCTCAAATTTTACCTTCAGTGAGTTCAAATTTGAGATAATGTTGGGACTGATGGCTTTTGCTTATCAACTCATGTCGTTTTTTTTGGACAAATCAATGACCTGGAATAGGCCTACATTTTGATTCTGATGCCTGAACTTAATTGACAAGGGCAAAGCTCAAAACTCAAAATTTAGTGTCAGTTGAAAAAACTCTTAGTTTTCAGTTCCTAAGTGTGATCATTTTGAATATGCGTATACTTGAGATGAGATATAATTTTGGCAAAGTCAAGTTGAGATTCTGAAACATGTTATTATTGAACCCAGAAGGAATTCTCTCTGTATGTTTTAGTGAAAGCATTATACAGGCTATAACAGTCAAGTTTGTATATAAATCTTCCTCAACTTTTTTCCTTGAATCTGCACATTTTTTTCTCTGAAGCCGTGGTGTTGAAAGGACAAAGCCTTAGTGTAGATTGATAACTTTTCTTGAATCAGTATTGCATTGTTGCTCATTTTCTCTGCCAGCTCATCTGACTGGAGCGTACACCAATGCCCAGTGCTTGAACAGACTGAAGAAAAAGTTTGGAAAGATTGTTATTGCTGCAAACCTTCCAGAGGCTAAAGAACTGCTCTTTGACAGGAAGGTAAAGAAATTGTGTAATGGTATATAATGCTATTGGTGCGTATATGTGTAAATTAGTTTTAGTAAGAGTTTTACGGCACTTGCAACACAATAAGGTCATATAAGTGCCGTATGTGTAAATGAAAGTGCATGAACTAGGTGATTTTAATTCTGATAGCATCTGTTGGAAAACGGAAACAAACTTTGGAGATTGAATTTTGGAAGAGATGATAATGAATGATCAAAATTATTTGTCAATAATATCTTGTAAATGTATTTATTTTCATTTTTAATCAAAACTATTGTAGTAGATAATCCAGATACCCAATGGTTGTTGGGTAGCAGATTCAGAAGTGGTGGGACAGTGGGGGAAAAAAATTAACATTTTTTGCCTCATGTTTCAGGCAGACGTGCTGTTCTCCCCACGGGGCAAAATCCCCGACTTGGAGGTGTTACCCCAGAGAGTGCACTGTGAGCGCACGGGCTCGGCCATCATGACCAAGAGAGGGAGCCCCCTAGTGGACTGGTGGAATGCAGCGTTTCGCTCTCTTGTACGGAAAGGGCTGTACCAGAAAGTGTGTGAGGAGGGCAGAGTGAAATACAACTGTGAGTTGAACATTTATGTTTTTTGCAGATTTGTTCAGTAGATAAGATAAGATAATATACATCTTTATTGTCCAGATCCTGGCACATTGGTTTGGTGTTTCACCACATACATACACACACACACACACACACACACACACACACACACACACACACACCCACACACACAGTAACACTCACACACACACACACAGGCACACACACACACACACACGCACATGCACACACATGCATGATCATGCACACACTCGTAGGCTTACAAGCACATGCATAATATAAATGAGCAGCAATATAAACAATAATAATCGTGAGCTAGATACACACTCAATGTTATTTTGATGCTTGCTCTAAGGTTCTAAGTATACTTATACAAGATGGTTAAGATGAAAGTATTTTGATAGATGTAGCTATTGCAGTTGTACAGTGTTAGAAAAGAATAATGATTTATATTTAGACAGTCGAAATTGTCTAAGGTGACTACCCATTGTTGAAGAGAAAATTGTCCGTCTTAGGGGAATGTCTTATATAGTGTCATTATATTGTACAGGAATGCTGGAGGTGAAATGGGAAGTGACTTTTTATACAGGTGATTGTCTTATACAGGTGGCCGTTAGAGCATGTTCGATTATACAGTATAACACGGATAGTTAGAACTTGTCGGGACCGACCTTGGAAGTTCGAGGGATCTGTAGTTTGAGGAATACGTGAACAGTATTGTGGCATCAGTTGTTTCAGAGAATCAAGGGAAGCAAAAAAGATTGGATTGGAACAGATTTTTCTTTTTCCTGCCATTGTCGTAGATCAGATAGGATAGATCTATGCCTGTTGACTTGAATTTGAAATTTGAGAGAATTTGAAATTGACAGATTGAGAATGAGAAACACTGCAACGCTTTCGAGTTCGATCGGTAATGAGCCATCCGGTACCAAAACTGTTTATTTGCATGTGTCAGTGTGAGCAGTCTTTAGACTGCACCAACGGAATGGTGCCTTTTCAAATTTTTCAAGACATAAACAATCTGACAAGATAAACATATCGCAACAGTAATCAACAAGGCGATGACGAAACAATGCAGGTTTTCCCTGCCTCTCCCACTAAGCGCGCAATCCTTTGCAAAGAGGGGGTGGGTGCCAGTCAGTCGTGTGATGCACATCCCCTCCTCCTGCCTACTCTACACAAGCCTAGCTAGGCCTAGGACCTAGGCATGCGCAGAGGGCACACATGTTGAGCAGCGCGCTAAAAATAGCACAGTTAGCCTCTTCTATGGAGAGGGGGGGGGGGAGATGGTATTTTACTGACCTTGCCTTTTTCCGTTTTTATCATTATTATTGTTATTATTTTGTCTCAAGTACACCTCAAAGGACATCGACTTTAGACCTCTACGGTGGCGTAATTAGTTCGACTGTTCTGTGTTTGTGTCCGAGCCTGGTGTAATTTGCTTACAAAAATAAAGAAGAAAAAAACCAAAAAACGGGACCACAGGCACAGTTCGACGGATGCGTGATTTCGAGTAATCTGTGCTCGACCTATCCGGGTTATACTGGATATATATAATATAAAATTGACTGGGCTTTTTTTTATGTGGTGAATTAGAGATATTGGTACCTGACTAAAGTCACTTTCAATTCTTCATAATAAAGAATTCATTGTTCCTCTGTTGAGTATATTCTATAGACAAGTTATTATGTTGTGCAGTTGTAACATACAGTAGTCTTCTCTTGCGAAAATGTTTTGGTTTCTGATTTTCAGCATCTGATTGCTATTACTTGAACAAATGGTATAAAAACTGCGTCCAGTTTAAAACTATATGGTTCAAAGTTTCATGCTTCCACAATGCTACATATCAATTTGTTTTTTGTAGCTTTTTTTTTTCCAGTTCCTCTGAAGAATATTTCTGTTGTATTTTTTTTTTTCACTGGATGACTTTTGATCACTCATGCTTCTTTCTGTTTTTCACAGTTCCAATCAGATGTTTTCCAGAGAACACTTCCTTACCTACCAGTGGATATCCAGAGGATTATATTATTGGGTAAAACTTTAGCAGCTTCGTATTCTGGAGATGTCATTACCCAAAAGCATCAAATAAAATAATTTTATTTTTAGAAAAGGTGGCACGAGAATCACTATGTTTTGAAGGTAGATTTGAATTTTTGAATAATGGGAGCCCAGGAAATTGTTCTGGTTTTATTTTTGGAACATACCACATACTGATGTCTTCCATTATCACCCTTCTTAATGAAATGTGACTTGTGTACCACTCAGTATTAGGCTTGCTGAAAATGTAACGGTAAAACCCTTTTACAAACTGCCATGCCTTTTCCTTTTGTTTTGCGTGAAAATGTAGATCAAATAACGGGAGTTTTGTTGACTTGCAGCCTGGTGTGTTTTACGTTTTAAAAAAAAATATAGTAGAGGGTTTTACGGCGCTCGCAACTTTTTAAGTCTTTGTTTTCATTTTGTGTCAGAAGTATTACAATGTAATCAGATCTTATATATCATCATCTGTTTTTATATTATAATGATATTATGGTTGTGGCCTTGTCATTTCTATAAAATTATGAACTGCTGACATAATGACAATGCTGTTTCTGTGCAGGAATAATTTTTATTTTGAGCTGTGTGGGTTTATACAGAAATGCGCAATTATTATTGTGAGGAACATATGAATGGGGTTTGGATGGGAAGAGGTTTCAGATCTGCATGAAACTGTATATTGATATTCTTTTGACTGTGTGTCATGTGTGGCCAGCAAAATGTGTCTAAATATAGGTTGAGTATTGGTGCTATCATGACATCTTTTTACAATGTTTATTTTTTTTTCAATCATTTCTTGAAAGTGAATAACTTAAAAAAAATTGAAGCTTATTTCACTTCATCTTTTTGTTGCTTCTTGTAGGTCATGCCACAAAGGTCTGCATGTTATGTGAATGATTTTAATTCTTTTCAAAGATTAATTAGGTACAGTTGTAATTATTGATGACAGAGAGAGGGAGGGAGGGAGGGGGGGGAGAGAGAGAGAGAGAGAGAGAGAGAGAGAGAGAGAGAGAGAGAGAGAGAGATATTTTTATGCAGTGTATTGTTTTCACTATGTTGCTCTCTTAACTAGCCTTATTTTGAAAGACAGAGTGACAGGTACATTGTTTTAGTCAAGTGGATGACTGCAGTGTAGGCTAGTCCGTTTATTAGTTGCCATATATATATTATTATGTGTGTTTCATTTTGTTTTGTATCAATTTATCATCTTATTAGACCTAAATAGTCATTTCGAACTGATCTCACTCTGCAAGGTTTTAGGATCTATATTTTCTTGCTGGACCCCCTGTAGAAGTTAAAACAGATTGGTATTATAGAGGGCTGAAAAGAAGACATGTTATCAAGGAAAGGAAGGCTACCGTACTACACCTTGTGCAAAAGAGATCGAAACATACAATGGCTAGCTCCTGTCTAATCTAGAAGATACCCTCTTGCTCCACTTGACACCACATTTCTGTGCTTGATCTCATTTTATTTGAAATCTTTTTTTGACAAAGTGGATGTTCTTTTTTTTTTGTTTGTACGAGATGTATTTGTGCAAAAGAATACATATTATTAAATAGTTTGTATTCACATTTGTGTGAAGTTTATTTACCTTAGTGTTCAACTCTAAAGCTCATAGTTACGTGTCTATCCTTCTTTCAGACAATTTATTTTGATCTTCAAATATGTGAGGCAACATGTTGAAACCAGGCACTCGTCTAAATAATGAAATTGAAGAAACTGTTTTTTTTCCACTGGTTTTATCAAATTTTTGGGGGGAGGGTCACCACCTTTTAAGTCCATTTTTAACAACACGTTTCTGTGTGGATTTTACTGAAACTAAATACATTGATTAATAAAGTCAGGAAAATGCAAATTTTCAATTTCCACGGACTCTCATGCAATAGAAATAACCAAACTTTGGCGGCTATTTTCTCGCTAATTCTGCCTCTGAAACCTGGTGACCCCTATCTCCTTCATTTGGGAATATCTCGACTTTCACGCAAGATAAATGTGTATATTTTTCATCGCAAGCAAAACAAATGAACAAGATTTTAGTTTAAGATGCTATCAATTACTCCACATGCCCAAAATTTGACGAGCGCCTGTTTCCACCGCTTCATGACACATTATGTTTCCAGATGAGGGCTGATTGTATCATAGTAATATCCTTCTCTTCTTAGTACACATGTATTTTGATTTCATAGGTTTGGTTGAATCTGGCTTTCATTTGTTTCTCGGACATTTGATGTCATGTATTGAAATTAAGTGTGTTAACTTATTGAGGATTCACACTTTGGTTATTCGACAACACTTGAAAAAAAGAAAAAAGCTTAACTGTATTATTCATGTTGGCTTTTCAATTCTGTTTTTAAAAATTTGAAACTCTAAAAGACAGACAGTAGATGTAACTGGTGTGGTTTGCTCCTTCTTTCGTATCAGACATCTTTTTTCCTTATCTTTTGTCCTTCTTCTCTTTGTTCGTTACTCTCGAGTAACGTCTTTAATCTTTGGCATTTATATGACCCATATGTGTTGCAAATGTCACAAAACTGTCACTAAAACTTTTTCAAAACTAAAAACAAAAATAAAATGAAATGTTTTTTTACAAAAGAATTTCTACTATTTCTACTGTGCATTATTGACATGAAAATAAAACTACTATTACTACTATCAATGTGATGTCTTTTTTTTTTGGTATTGTCACGTGGCTCTGAAGAGAGGTCTTGAGAGAGAGCAAGAAAGGGAAACCGGAAAGTGGGTGGTTGGCGGGTGTTCTGGTGTGGTTTGCTCCTTCTTTCCTATCAAACATCTGTCGTCCTTTTTTCCCTTCCTTCTATTTTGTGTTTTTTACTCTCTTGTAACACCTCTAATCTTCGGCACTTATGTGACCTTATTATTTTGCAAGTGCCGTAAAACTCTTACTAAAACTAAAAAGAAAGGGACAGATTGCCAGTTGTTGTGCATTAGTTAGGCATTGATGCCAATGTGAAAAGAGTCTTTGAAACAAAGATACCTGCTAGGCCTTTTTCTATGACATCTGACTTTCTGTATTAAAATCATACAACTGTATTTAGCTTTACTCACTAACGGTGTGCATTTTTGTTACTCGGCAACGCTTAAATTTAATCCTATCCGTACGCCCTGGGGTCATTTTGTACCCCCGGGGTTGTATTCTTCACATTTTAGAATACGTCTACATTTAGTACTAAGATCTCTTTGAAACTTTCAGTATTTCTAAAAAAAATCATTTTGACAAACTGCTTTGCAAAGCATGGGGATCGGACTAATGAGAACAGAGTCCCCCACGCTGTATGGATACGATAGGAAAACACGATGCACGGATAGGGTTAAGGACAATAAAAAAGAAACATAACTTTACTATCCATGCCGATTTCTCATATCTGTTTCCTTCATCTGAAACTTCAAAGGGTGGGCAACTAGATACAAATATGAAATATTATGCAAGTCTGTGTTTCTGTTTTGTGTGAATGTTCGAAGTACGCACCATTACCTTTGGCCTTTTCATGATCAGGCTTATGGGCCGCTATTTCCTCAAAGAGTTCATGGGTAATTTAAAAGTCTTATATAATTGTCAACATGGTTAGGAGGGGAGGGAAGGAGGATGAAAAGAAAGCAGAGAGAGAGTGAGAAGAGAAAGAAAGAGAGAGAGAGAGTGAGAAAGAAAGAGAGAGAGAGAGAGAGTGAGAAAGAAAGAGAGAGAGAGAATGAGAGAGAGAGAGAGAGAGAGAGAGTGCATGCCGACAATCTTTTTCTTTCTTTAAACTTAAGATTGCTTTAAGGACAATTTTGTGCTACATGTACATGTATTTTCCGTACACCGCGTGACCCTTTCTTTGTTACTTTAAAGCTTTGTTCAGCTTCTGATTCTGAGGTAATAGACACGCTACACAACTGCACGAGGCGCGCTCAATCGAAAAGTAGAATATAAATGCGGAGTGTTATGTCGTGTAATTTCCTTTCATTCATGATTCTTTTCTCTTCTTTCCTTTTCCTTTTTTTTCCTTTTCTTTACCTGTACTTTAACTTTAACCAGTGGGTCAAGTACCCCATGTTCGTTATATAACGGAACATGCACAGCACAGAATTGGAATTTGCGCACGCACGCACACGTACACACGCATACACACAAACGCACACACACACACACACACACACACACACACACACACACACACACACACACACACACACAAGGTAAAACAAAATGGTAAAAATTGTATTTTCGAGTCAGAGGCCTGAATTGGAATTTGATGGAACTATCGCCTTTTAAATAACTATAATATTTATTACAATTAATATTATAGTTACCCTCAAACGGTAGCACAACTAAGCTCAAATTCTAGCTCCCCCACAAAGATGGGAACGGCCACCTTCATAAACTATTTGACAGGGAGGGGTGCGACGGCCCCGCACGTGACAATTTGTCCCCACTTTTTCCCTTGTGAACGAGTGAAAGGACCTTTATTATTTTCTTTTTTTCTGGTTCGAGTTTTTTTTTCCTCACGCATTTTGTTCATTTCGCTTCTTTTGTGGACGTTTTGAATTCGCTATTCGTGTCACCCAGTGTCACATTATTATGTTATCTGACAAAGGCTCTGCAGTTACGTATTCATTCAGTCATCTCATTTTAAAGTTCTGGAATGCCATGCAATGCAGAAAATAAGTTTAAAGAAAACACCCCGGCATGCTTTATACTTTATACAATTAATTGATCAATCTGTGTACGTTTTGCCAGCGCACACAAATGGGATTTTATATAAACGAAGCAGATTCTGTCTATATGATGAATATACCTGGGCAACATTATTTGGTGTGTTTTTATTTACATTGTAAAATTGACGAGACAGACAGACAGAGAGAGGGAGAGGCAGAGAGAGGGAGAGGCAGAGAGAGAGGGGGAGAGAGAAAGAGAGAGAGAGAGTGAGAGAGAGAGAGAGAGAGAGAGAA